GTAACAGAACAGAATAAGGAGCAGAATAACAGAGGATTGCTAACTCTTAAAACTTTAATCTATAATTAATAAGACAGATAAATTAATTCTCTGTCCTTAGAATTAGAACAAGAGCAATATGCTCTTAATTAGTAACTAGCTTATAAATAACTACACATATTACAAACTTATAATCTTTCTGTAACCTAGCTTAAAGGCTATATACCTAATTAATATAAGAACAACGCTCTAAGACGTTGAAACCCTAATCTTAGCACAGACAACGTTATTAAAGGCCCACAGCGTACACAAAGAAATGCTGATCTCCAGGCGCCAGAGAGATAGCACTCTCACGCTGTCTTATATAGAGTATTAGTTAGCAACTATCTCAAGGCTTTCTTAACTGCCTTAAAGGCTAAGCTAATAACAAAGATACACCACACACAGGTGTTAAGAGCTCTACAGTTATATTAAGAGCTTAAGTCTTAATAATTTAGAGAGCAAATTTAATAAGCTGCTTAGAAAGAGTATTACAAGATCTAGGGCAAAGGCTGCTTTACCAAGACAATAAAAACAGTAGAGACTGCTAATGCAGAGGTGTTACCCCTAATATAGATATTCACATACAAGTTTAATAAAGACAGCTACCTCTATTAATTTAAGGCACAACTTGTTGTCTGCAACAATCTACAGCAGCCATACAGAGACACCTACGCTGCTACACTAGCTGCTTAAACGTTTCAAGTACTCATTGCAATAGCTAATTAATTTAGATTAGAGCTACTTTAGTATAATGTACTAAACGCGTTTCTTAACGCTACACTTAATTAAAAGCTCTACACTTAGACACTAGACAGTTTCAAGAAGTATAGAGAGCTGGTGCAGGTGCTAAGAGCTCTGTACAGATTAAAGGAATCACCACTTCTATAGTACAAGGATCTGAGAGAAACACTAAAGTCTCTAGGTCTAATGCCTATACCTAGATTTCTATGCGTCTATGCAAACAGCTAGTTAATCCTATTTGTTTATATTAATAATATTATTATAGCTTTCTACCTATCTAACAAATATCTGCAGTAAGAGTTTAAGAGGAAGCTTAATAAGCACTATAGCCTAAAATACCTTAGAGAACTTAAGTAGTTCTTAGGCATACGCGTTATTTAAGATCTTAGCACACGCACAATTTACTTAGTTTAGGACGCTTATATTAATAAGGTTGCTGCTAAGTACAACATTATCTCTACTAGCTGCCCTTTAGAGGTGCCTATGCTAGTAAGTTACCTAGAACAATCTCTTAAGGAACTAAACAAAGCTTAGAAGAAGATCTATTAAGAGCTTGTAGGCTACCTTGCCTATGTAAAGTTGTCAGATAAGAGCGAGCGGCGAGAGGTCGGATCTGCGCAATCGAGCAGGGACCTGTCGTGCAGCCAATCAGCAGTTGCTAGGTCGATTAAGCGAGACCTGGCAACTCCTGATTGGCCCGCACACCGGCGGCCGCGAACAGCGCTAATTCCCCCCACTTCAATCCTGTAGCAACCAGCACGACGCCACGGCGAGACAGACACCATCGCCACGATCATCAATATATCATTATACCACCTAAGATCTCGTTAAGCACATACTCTGGCTCACAGTACGAGCATCTGACAATTAAGAGTCTCACTGCCGCAACCGAACTGCTGCAGTCTCACTGCCGCAACCGAACTGCCGCAACCTCACTGCCGCAACCGAAATGGCGCAACCAACGTACCGCGACCCAACGACAGTCCTCAGGGACCAAGCCGACTGGACTGGCTGGCTCGCGCAGCTACAGGCGAGATGCCTGTCGCGCAACATCTGGGACAAGATCAACCCAAAGACAACTACACCACTACTATCAAAGCCACTCTCGCCAAGGGCTCTAACCATTACTAACTACGCGCCAGCCGCGAACACCGACATACCATTAAGGCCAACTAAGCTATTAACAACAGGCCAGAAGGCATTTAAGGAAGACCTTGAGTATTACAAAGTACTCCTCAAACAATACAAGAACAATCAACACAAATATAAGAAGGAGGAAGCAAGCCTTTAGCACATTATTGTGTTTATCCAGTTAACTGTGTCGCCACATCTACTGCGCACATGCTGTCTTCCTGAGAAACCACTGCGACAGTGGATCACAGACCTACAACTCACTGTTGGGGTTGACGAACAAATTAAACAAGAACAAGCCCAAGACAGATACCTCTCAGCACTCAAGCCAATGAGAAGCACGTCACAATGGGATACCTGGCTAGCTGAGTATGACCAGGCAGCTACAGAAGCAGAGACGTACAAAGTCACCGAATTATCGCAATTAAATGTAATAACAAAGGACTTCCTGACAGCTGTGAACAGGGTCGCGCCTATGTGGGCTACAAGCTTTCAAGATAGCAGACGCTTTAAATCTAGTATAAGTCAGAAGGAGATAATAAAACGCTACCAAGAGCACATAATAATAAATCATCCCCTTAGATTAGGGTGGCACAAGGCCTTTGTAGCTGACAATGCAGTGTTTCTTGCTAAAGGGGGTGCAGCCTCCTAGAGCCATAAAGGGGACGCCCAACATGCTGTAAGCGCGCCATCCAACCAGGGCAGACCTCAATATTAACATACAGCGGGTAGGAAAACCACCACGCTCAAGCGGCCTTCAGATCAAGAGCCTGCTTCCACTGGGGGAGCAAAATGCCCTGCATGTGGACAACGCCACTCTATACGGGATTGCTACTATGTTAATCAAGACAGAGCTCCTAAGTAGTGGAAACTAAATAAGATTATTTCTAAACTTATTAAGTTTAAGTGTGAGAAAGATGTTACCTTTTAAGGGCTACTTCGTGCACAAAGCAAGAGCTAATTAAGAACACTAGTGGTGAAGCACTTGCACACCCCTACCCTAGAAATCCTAGACAATTAACTAGAAGGCTAAGAAATTGCTGACGTTAAAGCAGCGCTTAGCGCAGCGAACTAACAGGACGCTGCTAACTATCCACTGCGGAAGTTGTTCATACTTGACTTAGGTTCTACCTGTCATATCACCAACGACCCCAACTGCGTCTATAGGTTCTAACAGCTATCGCCTGGAGACTTCATATAGGCTGGGAATTCTAAGGTGCTGGTTAGAGGATATGGATCAATTGATCTACTCCTGAGGAGTGGAGCCAGGACAACCAAGGTCACCCTCATAGACGTGGTAATTTGCCCAGACCTGCTATGCAACCTAGTGTCCTTCCGCCTACTACAAAACAGAGGCATGTGGTGGGACACACAAGCAGACCTAACAACTCTCTGACAAGCAAATAGCTAAGTAATTAGAGTAGTATTAGAAATGCTTAGCTAGTGGGTGCTTGAGTACGAACTGTCCCTACTAGCTGCTAACTACACACACAAAATTACCACACGCACTAAGAGAGGACCACAGAAGGCCTTAGCAATATGGTGGCACAAGCGACTTGGTCACCCTAGTCCTGCTGCAATTGAACACATCGTCCAGCAGACTTAGGGGGTGTGGATCTAAGGCATCACTACAGTTAAATACAACGCTTGTGGAATAGCCAAATTGTGACGGCAAATCAGCCGCGCACCAAGAATTAACAATGACGGACCTAGAGAAAGACTCAGCGTTGACTTCTACTCCTACAAAGTACAAGGAGTTACTAAAGAAAAGAGCTAGATGCTTATCACTAACAGGTTCTCAGGCCTACAGTGGGACCTCTACTTCACAGATTATCGCACAGCGAAGTCAATTATTAAGGCACTGTCAACGTTTATCCTGTTCTTGAAAAATTACTACAACATCTTAGTCAAGACTATTAAGGCAGACAACAAGATAGCTACAGTCAAACTAGGCGTATTGAAATGGCTGGCAACACAAGGAATTATTGTGGAGCCTTCAGCGCCAGACACACAAGCACAGAACGGTAACGCAGAACGCTCAGGGGGTGTGAACAAGGAGAAAGCTCGCGCAATGCGACTTGATGCCAACCTCTCCTGGGAACTGTGGCCAGAAATCACGAGGGCAGCAGTATACCTCTACAATCGAACGCCGAACTACGCAAACTATTAGAAAACACCATACAAAATATTCTTTACGCAAGTTGCCTTTAGCAACAGAATAGTAACATTACTGCAAAAACCTAACCTTGTGCACCTAAGAGCATACAGGTGCAAAGTGTTTGCTATAACAGACAACACACACAGAGGCAAATTACGTCTTTAACAACTAGACCTAAAGGCCTAGATTAGCTATCTAGTAGGCTACTAGTTGTTAAACATCTATTAAATCTAGATACTGTTACTTAGCAAGGTAATAAGTACTTAAGATATTGTGTTTAACAAAGACACAGTATTTAACAGGAGAATTAAGGACCTTATAGAGAACCTTATGCACAACACACTTAAAGAAATAGCAACATATGTGCGATCTATTAAGCTACTAACGCCTACCTAGCAACTAGAAACAGATTCCTTTTATAAGGATGAAGCCCTAGCAGAGCTGTCACCACAAGACAAAGCAGACCCGCCAGGCTACTATCACAGACAGAAGATACAGGATAGCTATCCTACCCCTCCATTAACACCGCCACCTGCAGCACTACTTGCAGGCATTATGGCCAGTGATCAAACAACTCTGACGCAACAAGCGTCCTCAACTACTGTCCTGTGGGCAGCATCATTCCTTGCGGGAACCTAAGCTAGACGTGTTAGAACATACAGAGGAGAAGTTATAGACAAGGCTAAGATAATAAGAATGCTCGCCAAAGGCTTAAAGCCCTATTAAAGTTAACTTCTACCTCTGCCTACGTTCTAAACCAAGCTTAAGGATCACCCTATAGGTAAACTCTTTTAAGAAGCTAAGCAAGAGCACCTTGCAAGCTACTAAGAAATAAAATTATAGTTAGAAGTACTACTTCAGAAAATTAGACTAACAGGACAACAGATCCTTAACTGCATGTGGGTATATACCTATAAGCTTAATAGACATTATTGACTGCTGAAGTGCAAGGCGCGACTGGTAGTTAGAGGTAATCAACAACGCAATATTACATCACAAGACACCTACGCAGCCACGCTTGCCAGCCGATCCTTTCGAACGATGATGGCTATGGCAGCTCACTATAACATGGAGCTCAAACAATACAACGTTACCAACGCGTTTGTTCATGCTACAATGGACAGAGAGGTCTACATGAGAATGCCACGAGGCTATCAGAAGCCCGGCACGATACTGCAAGTAAACAAGGCACTTTACGGGCTGCGCATCTCTCCCCTCCTCTGGCAGAAGAACTTCACTGCAACACTAAAAGCACTAGGTTTCTAGACTGTGCCTCACGAACCCTGCTGTCTAACTAAGGGCAGCATTATTATCTTCTTTTATGTTAATAATATCATCCTCGCGTACAATAAATTAAAAGAGCAAGAGGTAATGCAGACAATTAGCCACGTACAGAGCAAGTACACCTGCACAGGAGGGCACGACCTACAGTAGTTCCTTGGCATAGAGATTATACAAGACTGAGCAAGCAAGAAAATCTACCTATCTTAGGCAGCGTACTCAGACAAAATCAGTCGCCTTGCCAAGAACACAACTATACGACATGACACTCCAATGGCAACAACTGAACTACAGCCAAGGAGTGGACTAGCAGCGCTAGCAGAAATCAACAAGTATCAACGCAAAATTGGATCACTGCTGTTCGCTGCGGTCACCACGCGACCTGACATTGCGTTCGCCACATCAAGGCTTGCCAGGTTCCTCACCAATCCAGGCATCAGCCACCAAGATGCTGCGGACTGGGTCCTTCTATATCTACTCAACACTAAACAGCGATCACTGCAGCTTGGAGGAGGCATCAGCCTCCAGGTAGCAAGTGACGCGTCCTTCGCTGACAACACTATGGACAGAAAGAGCTCCTAAGGCTACGCAATTAAACTCTTTAGCGGCCTCATCGCATAGAAAGCAAACAAGCAGGACACAGTAATAACATTAACAACTAAGGCTGAGCTTCTCGCTCTCACCTAGGTTACAAAAGAAGCACTTTTTATCTCAAGGCTCTTGCGCGAACTACACGTCAATATAGGCGCACACGCCATCACAATACAATGCGACAACAAACAAACAATTCAACTAGTCACTGAGGAAGTGTTGCGACTACATACCAAACTTCGGCATGTGGATATCCACAACCACTGGCTCTGACAGGAGGTGGCCGCTAGAAAGATTATTATAGAACACGTCCAGTCTGCGAGCATGATAGCAGACAGACTCACAAAGGTACTCCTAGTGAACAAGTGGGAAGGTTTCCTCCAGCAACTTAGTCTGGTGAACAGGGAGTCAACAGAAGTGCTAAACAGCGTGCCTCTAGACAGGATTTAAGAACAAATTAAGGACCTTGCACACGCATAAACAGTCAGCTTAAAGAGTTTCTAAGCTAAAGGGGGTGTGTCAGATAAGAGCGAGCGGCAAGAGGTCAGATCTGCGCAATCGAGCAGGGACCTGTCGTGCAGCCAATCAGCAGTTGCTAGGTCGATTAAGCGAGACCTGGCAACTCCTGATTGGCCCGCACACCGGCGGCCGCGAACAGCGCTAATTCCCCCCACTTCAATCCTGTAGCAACCAGCACGACGCCACGGCGAGACAGACACCATCGCCACGATCATCAATATATCATTATACCACCTAAGATCTCGTTAAGCACATACTCTGGCTCACAGTACGAGCATCTGACAAAAGTTATAAGACTTTGTTCTTATAATCTTTCTCTAGCATATTTCCTTCTTAGGTATAGTGCTATGCTTACCTAGGCATTGTTATCATAACTTCCTAAAAGAGAGGATTAGAATGGTGTGCTTACAAAGCCTGTATCTCCTCTTGTTCTTAAGATATGCTGTTCTCTATTTTTAGTAACTAGAAATGTTCTAGACCCTCTGCTTACAAATAGAGTAGCCTACTCTGTAAGATGCTGACGTATATAATTACACATGCACCTACGTAATCTTGCTTGTATATACAGCAATACTAAGCATATATTACTAAGTGGACCTACCTAGAGGAGTCTAGAACGTTCTGCTTAGAAATACAGACAGAGGAGAGGAAGCATAAATACCTCTGGCTCTCCCCCCTCTGTTCGCTCTGTACCTAGCCTAGGAATCTCTACCTAGTATCTAATATAATAACTTGACTATTATATTACATAACCCTACCTTACCTATATTAGGCTATACGCTTCCTATTTAGACAAAGCTAGTCTAGATTTGTCTAGGTCCTTCTAGACTAGGAAGAAAGTAGTCTAGTCCTTCCCCTACTTTCTTTACAGCCTACCTTACGCAGTATACCTGACCTAATCTAGCTTGCGCCCACGTTATCCACGCTTTATATTTAACCAACCCTGGCCAAGCACACATTGAATCTATTTAAAGGGTGTGGCTTTACATTCTAGAGACAAAATATCAAGCCCTGCAGGCTCAAGCCACTGACGAGGCAGAGATACAAGAGCACCTCACTTTGCTACAGGACTATCGCGATCATATCTTCTTTGGAGCATCTGATGCCTCCTTTGCTAATGATGTTAAGACGCGCTAAAGCTCTTAAGGATACGTATTTCAGCTTTTTAGCATAACTGTTAACTAGAAGTTAACACTTTAACACACTATCACAAAATTAATAACAGAAGCAGAGCTGCTTACTCTCTTACTTGCTAGATTAGAGATAGAGGAGTAGTGCTACTTGTTTAAAGGACTGTCTTTAAAGCTTAACT